TATTACTCGTCATAAAGCTTAAAGAGCAGATTCAAAAGTTTTTCTGTTGCTACATATGGACAAAAGCGTAAATACAAGCAATTTCATAAATCCACAAAAAATTATAACATTTGTGCAACTCATAAAATGAGCAATTACACTCACAACAAACACTTCTTTGACATACACTTTTACTTTCACCTATATTTCCTCAAACCGGAATCCCCACAAATATACAATGCGATTTAAATACTTTACTTACATTTGGAAAGCGTATTATCATAGGTGGTACCTTACCGCTAGACATCGCGCGTGGAAGTGGTACAACTGAAACAGGAACGGACGCGTAATTTACGATTTATCCAACTCAACTGCATTACGCATAGCAGATCCAAAAACTCCAACACGATATAGTACTGGGTCTGCAGGAATTATAGATTTCTTCTTGCTCAGATATACCAGTAATCCACTCGATGTTTCTGTGCTGCATGAGATCTTTTCTGACAATAATCCGGTCAGAGTTTTCCTGGGAATCAGCTATTATATCACACCAGTCAAAAGAGCTATTGTTACTGACTGACATACGTTTGACAAAGTTCTAAACAACATACATTACACACTGCCTACAGTACATAATGAGAGTGACCTTTATAGTTTGGTTAAGGACTTTACGGATTCAATATTACATACCCACAGGAATGCCTGTAAAATTATCAAAAACTCCAAACCCAAACGAAGCAATGAACTTAAATATCTAATTAAAAGACGAAATGCGGCCAGAAGACAATACAAACGCACTAAATTTCCGGCTGACAAGCAAATGCTCAATAGATTGAATAATGCCGTCAGGTCTCTAACAAATTTTCAGTCAGAACAAAACTGGACTAATTATTTAAGTTTGCTTTCTACGGATGATAATTCCATCTGGACAGCATTCTCTAGCTACAAACAATATTTCGCCCCTTAAAGGCCTTGACAGGATCCATTACACCGAAACCGAGAAAACACTTAGCTCCGCATCTGGAATCTTAGTTTGGCATAAACAAGATGCGTGACACAACAACAAAATCTATTATTTATGAAAATCAGAGATTATCTCCGATTTCATAAAAATTACACAACAAACCCACTCACTAACAACATCATTCCAGTCCGACCGTCGGAAGTTATTGGCTTTAAGAATTTAAAGAACAACAAGAGCCCCGGTATAGACCAAATCAACAACAAGATGATGAAGATGCTACCACTCAAGTTAATTTTCAAGCTGACCGACATTTTCAGCACAATACTTCGATGGCAATACTTTCCACAGGAGTGGAAAACAGCTAAAATCAACCCTTTTCTCAAACCAAATAAACCTGCATATGAACTTGGGTCGTACAGACCAATTAGTCTACTTCCTTGCATAAGTAATGGAAGCAGTTATTCTCAAAAGAGTACGTGATCAATATACTGATATATACATGATTGATGGAAGCAAACAATATACTGATCCCACAATAGTTTGGATTTCGGAAGTCGTTGTCTACATCCTATCAACTTTATCGTGTTGTGGAACACATCTCTGAGATGGAATTCACTACAAGAAGTATAGCCAAAGCTTTCGACCGAGTCTGGATGGACGCACTAATATACAAAATCCACAATCCGGGCTTTCCAGATTATAGTACACACATAATTGAATCCTACCTAGCAGGTAGACACTTTGTCGTTCACCTTTCTAACACTTACTCCACGAAACGTCTAGTTTCAGCTGGCGTCCCCCAGCGGTCGCTAATCGAGCCTACACTTTTAAATATTTATGTGCCCGATATACCCACCACTACACTTGCAATATATGCTGATGACACAGCGATCCACTTGCTCAAAACGCATTTCTTTGCCTATCTTCAAAATCCCATACATGCACTAGAGGTCTGGCTACTGAAATGGAAAATTCAGGTTAACGTTGAAAAATCAATTGCCATAGTCTTCACTAAGAACAGAAAAGTTGAGCAAAACTTGCAGTTTTATGGAACCTCACAGTCCTTGGCTAAGAAAGTCACTTATCTTCGGGTGGATCCTCCCAAATTTTCTCACATGGTCCCCACATATACACTCTATTGTCCAGAAGTTTCGGGTTCGTAAATCTAAGCTCAACCCCTTAACTTCCCGAAACAGCGTTCTATGTATAGATAATAAGTTACTCATTTATAAATCCATTCCGCGTCCCATGCTCTGATTCGCTTGCCCAGTCTGGACGTATTCATGTAAAAATCTATGTAAAATGCTGGAAACTGCCCAGAATGTTGTTCTGTGGTTAATTACAAACCCACCGTACTATATTAGAAGCAATGCAATTCATGCGGAACTAGGCATAATTCCACTCAGAAGTTTTTACTACCACCTAGCCAGACAGTTTCATATTCGTTTACATACTTTAAGTAACTCTGAAATTAAAAATTTATAATTACGATTATTAGAACGATACTAATAAAAAAGGCCAATATCCATTCTCAATCCAAATGTAATCATGGAAGTCTGATTTTTATATTTATTTTGTCATGTTATTCTGCATTCTTTGTTTTTGTTTATGTATACTTATATCTTGTGTGTATTGTATGTATTTTGTTCACCACTTGACAGCTATTGATTGAAAATTACCTTGATAAGATAGATTCGGTTATACAGCTTTGAGGCATGAGTTTATTGTGCGTGAATCTTTTCAAAATTTAAATAAAAAAAATTACTAAATCTCAAATATGTTATTTTCTAAAATATTTCGAAAGTTTCATTTATGTCCGATTTGGGATAAGGCGTCAGCTTAGGCATTCAGGTGTATTAAACACCGTTCCACTGAAGAAAGACTGTCATAAAATAAAAACAAGCTTTTGACTGTCTCCTATTAAGATGTGACATCTCTAATATGGTTTTTTGTAAAGGTTTATGCATCACCACATTTGAACTTACAGTTGGACAACCATGGTCTTCAATATTTGGTTAAAGTATATGGAAATATTTAGTAAATCTGTAATGACATGTGAAGATGTCTCTATGACTACATGGCAGAGATACGACTGAATTTTGGGTTAAAATTTTGAGCAGCTGTTGTAAAACACTCAAAATGTTAGAGTGTATAAATGGGGATAAAACATTCAACCATGCTTCAGTATTTTAATGATATACTTGAAGACGGTAACACATAAGTGATCAACATAACATGTTCTAGCAAGTAATCCATTGTGGTTATGAGTGCCAACACTGACCACTATGTATACCTTTTGAAAACAATGCATGAGAAAGAAAGAATGAATTTGGTCGAGAAATAGGTTTTTCTTCAAAACAATGTTCGTTGATCGTTGTTGCTGGGGCATTGGCAGCATTGTTTGATATCAATCTATCAATACTAGAACACTCCATAGACAGTCTAGATTTAGCAAATTCTGATTGCTGGGCATTCTCAAAACTGAAAACGCAAGTCAGAGGTTTTCTTCAGATTAGAAAGTGAAAAGTGGCACTACCACAGTACTAAAGAGGACATTATGAAATAGCCTATTCCTACTTTTTTTGAAGCATTTAAAAAAAAAAAAAAAGTTGTGAAAAAGGGTAATTCAGCGTAAAGAATTGAAATTTATAAAAGAAAAAAAAATATCGATACGAAATATTATCCAGTGCTAAATAAGAGAATTAATATCAGAACTTTTCAATCAACCTATGTATTATGCAGTATATGTCCCCTAACAGATGCATGGCTTGTTACTAATACATTTTAAAAATTTCAGAATATTATACAAATTTTTATTGTGTAATATTCAGCAACATACTTCAAATATGTGTTTTAAAAGAGAAATATACCAATTTCTGATTTTAATATTAAAAGTTTCTATATTTTTATTTGCAAAGATTCACAGTACAACTGCATATAAAATCTTTGCTCAATTATATACCCTATTCTGCTCTTCACCTTTTACAAAATTTCACTGGATATAAATAAAGGTGTTTTTTTTTTAAACATCGCAAATTAGTACTGCTAATAATATGACTTCTAACCCATGGATAAACAAACAAGATGACACAAAAATTTACAAATAATAAAAGCATAATTTAAAAAATAATATTTGGTGTTTTAAACTCCTTTATTTTAATATTATAAAATTACATAACAAATTTTAATGTTCCAAAAAATAAGCTCTGAATTGAAACATGATTAACTGATCTAATTACATAACATTTAGTTCATGCAACATGACACTAATGCCAACATTCAATATGAAATGTTTTTATAACTGACTAAGATATTTTATGCTTTCCTGGCACATACATTTCTAAAATGCAATATTTTATCCCATTTTTGCAAAATAATAAAATAAAATATAATTAATAAAATGTTAAAGAGTTTCAGATTTAATGGATATTTAACCTATAGCACAAAGCAAAATTAAATCAAAAATGCCAAACGACACCTTTTGAAATATATCCAATTAATATTTTGGTAATGAAAAGATAATCTTTCAATATATGCATACTAAGAAAGTAGAAACATTTTGATAAAATATCATCCATTACAGGTCTTTAAAAAAATAAATACTTTACTTTCAATAATGATTCAAATATTGCAAGGTATAGTTTGCAATAATGCATTACTACTGTAAATATACTTTACTTTGTAAGTACTAATAATAGAATATAAAATTTTATTATAAATTTACAACAAGCACAAACATGAAAGTTAAAATTAGTTCTTCATAGAAAATTCAAAATGATTGAAATTACAGCACACACTTCACAATGCAAATGTGTTTCACTGTAAATTGGCCTAAACCTTCAGAGAATCACATTTCACAACAGAGATAAATACTGAAAGTGCAGTATGACATATATATTGTTCATAAATTATATATAACAATATATAAGAAATATAAACTTTCAGCAGCAAAATATTAATCTCAGTTTAGGCAACCCCATTGTTTTATTGCTGTGAAGAATCAGCATTTCATATATTTCAACAGCAAACTACATAGAGATAAGATAAATAACTTTTCTAGAATAATTCCAAATTATTTATTTCATGAAAAATTCTTTGGCCCTTGACACATGGATAAGAAGCTTTTGTGATTACAACTTTCCACAGCATTATATACATATTTAATAACAAAATAAAATTTAATTATAGATGACATTCAAGTACATTTCTAAACTTTACATAGTTCATAAAGCTATTAAATCAATTTATTCTTTATAAAGTTATTACAAACTCATTCAAAAATTGTGAACACTCCAAGGATTCATAACCATAAATTATTTCTTCCCTTGGATGAATATACAGTACTAAACTATCAAACACATAAACATATATTCTCCCAACTTTAAAATGAACACTTTGATAAAACTGTAATACAGGACAATCTTGATTCATTACTGAATTTGAGATCTTAATTAACAGATTCTGAAAAATGTCTTTTTCATGAAGTATATTCAAAATAATCAAACAGCCAAGTATCTCATAAAAAGGGTCCAGTAATTCACATCATACAAACTGAAATTGACTAGAACCTGAAATTTAGCTAATATAAAACAATAATAACATACCTGTTAACAATATAAAGCAGTGCCTTCACTGAAACAACTCCATGTATCACTTATAAGCAGACACTTAACAGAATACACAGGCATAAGTGGAATGCTGTTTAACCCACTACTTTGGGATCAAATGTTTTCTGCACCATTAAACATGCCAATGTTGGCAGTCTTTATATTTTGAGTTTGAGAAGCACTGAGTTGTTAGAACAACAGATGCATGTATTCAAACCATACAGCAGTCTGACCTAAATTTGATTAATAATTTAAAAAAAAATTCAATGAACTCACATACATATGCATATCCAAACAGTATAGCAATTTAATTAGAATTTGACTGATTATTGTTAACATTCTTAAGCATTAAAGATTTCATGCTGAGCAGTCATGGATTTCCTGTTCTTGGATATTTTGTATAGTAGCTCTTGTTAATTAACCAGTTACGATGACTAAGTTCTTTCTGCATTCCTCTCCAGAATGCAAATTAGTTTGGTGGGTATATAAGTTGAGGGTTTCGAATATTTAGATACTAACAATAATATGCTTCTGGCAATTGCATGTTGTTAGTATTTTTGCCAACTCTGCTTAAAAGTTATATTCTGGCTTTAGCATCTCGTTAGTCAATATTTTAAAACTACATGCCAGTAAAATATGCTGAGGTCTGTTTAATTAGTCTGTTTATATAATTAGTTAATATTAGTCTACTTAATGTGTAGTCTTAGACTACATTACCAATATTTGAATTTGTCTGTTATATTAATATAAATATCCACAAGCAGTGGAAGTTTCATCTGTAATACAAGTACTGTTATGTTCAATTTAAGACTAAATAAAAAAGGTTATTTCAACTTTTGCAAGTATTTTGCAAGTTGCTAAGATGGATTAGCAAGTTTTCACTACCTGTCTAGTAGGGTCAGCAGGACTTTACTTCCAGTTACAATAAAAAAAAACTTACAATTTTATATACTAAATCACATCATAGAAAACTTTTTGGGCATGAAAGAAGTTTGTGAATGCACTACTACTTTTATTATGCTATTGGAAATGCAATGAAAGAAAGTGGGTTTGATTATTTCTGAGTATCCAAAATGTGGAAACAGTATGCGTTTTGCATGAACAAATTGATGGATATGAATGGCGTTGTTGAAAGTAAGGTAGTGCGAATTAACATGATGTTTGTAAGGAGAGTGAGGAGAGGTTTGTGGTTTAAGCACAGTCATTTCAGCCTTTCTGACATTCTATCATTTAGAAGTTTGGTTTGGAAGGCGTTCAAATGAGTTTTTTATGAATGAGGATAAAGTTCATAAATATGCTGTTGAATGATTTATGTTTTAAAGAGAGGTATATCAAGCCATGGGCAATGAAATTGTTTCTCTTGGTGGAAAAGAAGTTATTGTTAAGTAGATATGGAAGGGGCTTACTGTAGATGGATACTGGGTCAGAAAAGGGAATGAATAATTTTTTTTTTTTTTCAAGTGGCTGAGAGAAGAACAAAAGAGAACTTTTTGAGTATCATTAAGGATGGAGTACCGCTGGAGACCACAATAATATTGGACCACTGGAAAGCATATGACTGTCGCTCAGATGAAGGGTACATGCATTTGCTGTGTAAATGACAAAATGACATTTGAAGATTCTAATAGACGTAATACATACTGGTTCAGTTGAAGTGACTTAGTCAGCAGTGAAACAAGACCTTCAAAATAATACTAATTATGTGGAGAGTAAATTCCACTCCTGTTAGGGAGAATTTGTGTGGAGAAGAGTCCACAATGAAAACAGGTTTGATTAAAACTGAGTGTCCAAAAAAGTGGGAACACTACACATTATGTGATTAAACAGACAAATTGATGGATGTGAATGACATTGTCATAAGCAAGTTAGTGTGAATTCACTTGATGTTTGTAGGAGCATGAACAGAGGTTTGTGGTTTAAGCACAATCACTTGAGCATATTTGACATCATACAGATAACAAGATTTTGGTTTGGAAGGTGTTCAAATGAAGTGGAAGTTCACAAACATGCTGTTGCTGACTGGTTCATGCTTTTCAGAGAGGTATGTCAGATGGCCGTGATCAACAAAAGTGTGCTGCCTGATGGAAAAGAAGTGACTGTTGAAGTGAATGAAAGTACATTTCAGAAGTGGAAATGAAAAGGGAACAAACAGAGGTTTTATTACAGAGGTTCCATGAAAGATGAAGTTTTAGGGCACTCCTATTGAATGTAACCCAATGATTGAAAAAGATGCATAGGAAAACTAAGGTAAGTTAGAAATGGAATATTTTTTGTACTGTACTGTGTCAATTTTATACCCATTTTCTTGCAGTGTCTTCCAGAATTGTAACTCTTCAGGTGAAACTGCACAGAAATGCACTTGTCAAAGTAACAATTTTTGAAAACACACCAAATAGTGGGCTAAAGCACATTTTCACTCAAGATATCTGTCATTCTGAATCAAATTTTACATACAATGAATCAGTTCAAATAAATAGTTAATTACTGCAGAAAAATAATAACTTTTATTTGCAGGTAAGATATATGAATAAAAATGGCAAAGTTATAATAACTTTTTTAAGTAGCCCTACATCTTTAAAGAGAAAGAAAATGCAAATCTTTAGACTTTCAGAGCATATTATTTCCAATACCATGCATAACATCTGCCTTTTGAAGTGATTTCCTCCAAATCTCTATATTTTGTTTTTTTACTTTTTCCAGCACTTTAAAAAAAACAGATGTACAAATGTACAAATGTTTTTTATTCTAGGCATATCGCCAGCATCAAAAGGTTAATTAAGACCAATGTAGCTTGACAATTTCATCCTACCTTAACTTTTTTCAGTAAAACAAAATGTGAAACTTTTTTGTGGACATTATAAAATTTGTTTTTGTCATGAAATATACCCAGTTATCAGGGCTGAATTTAGACTTGATAAGGCAATAAGCTATTTGAGATATGGGGGCCCTTTATCAGTCCAGATATTATATTGTCAGTGCCAAATATGATTTTTGGATATCTAGGATTTTTTGGGGGGTCCTAAGCTATAGCTTGTGTAGCTTATCCGTAAATCTTGCACTGCCAGTTATGGGGCTTTTGGCTGTCAATTTTAATTTATTTTTTCAATTATTTGTTAAAATAGCACTCTTTAATTTTAAACAAACAAGCATTTATTTTTCAATAAAGTAATTATTCATCAAGTTGATTTTCTTATATCATACTTAAGGACCAGCACCACAATCGCTACTAGAGCCCACAGATTCTCTCTACAGCAGTGTATACATACATAATACATATATATGATAGTGGTAGACACTAATGATGCACAGGCTTTTTGCAGTTTATGTTATTACTCTCCCTAATATATCATTTTTTTTAATTTTACCATTTCATTAAAACAAAATATAGTATTTAGAACTAAGGGTCTGGCATTCTGGTGTCCTATGTGCATGTGTATACAAAAACATGAAGATTTTATATGCTATCATTATTAATTCTTGAATGAAATTATTAATTTAGTAAAACTGTCCTAAGTTCAGTACTTACTTGCATAATTTTACTAACAAAAGTTTCTAATTAATTAAACAGGAAATGGTGTTAAAACTTAAGAATAAGTTTTTAAGAGGTTAGTGACACTGACTGCCATAGCAAAGGCCCTGGGCTCGAATCTCAGAGAAAGCATGGATGTTTATAAATGTACACTGTCTGTGCGGCATGGGGGCACTCAAAATATACAGCAGGTTGAAAAGGTCTCTGAAGAGGTCAGGGGTAAGAAAAAAGGGATGGGAGACCCTCAGACCTATCCTGGAGAGTTCTTCAAAACTGGGGTGGAAGGGGCAATTAGTGTGGCAGGACTAACCTGTACGACCAATGGTGAAATTCTGGTGTCCTATCTGCTTCAACCTGTACCTGTAAATATATTTTTCTTCTCTACAGGTTACATGCATTTCATTTAAATATTTTTCTTATGTTAGGAGAATTCTACATCATTCTAAGAAATCGTTATTTCTACATTGATGAGACTTCATAAGAATTTTATTTAAGCAATCATCAGAAATAGAAAAACAAAATATTTTTTCTTTTATCTTTACTACGATTTTTTAACAGATAATAAGCTACAAAAAATGACAATATATAATTTCCAACCATGAAAACATTTCTATTCTGGAATATGCATTCTGAAGTATTTTAGTTTAGTTACCCATCCCCTCCTAAAAACTTCCACAAAAATTCAAAACTACCTTTTTTCTGGTGTATTATGCTATTCACTCAAACTCTATCAGAAAGTGAACTTATGGCTCCTTTCACCACCAAATATAAAATGATGCACAGTTAGTGACATACACTACCTAGAACACTGCATGTGAGTATTTCTGCAGAAACTAAGCTGATGTTATATGTACTCATTATAAATGTTATTTTCATGGGACACAGCTAGTATTAACCATAGGAGTAAATATTTCAATAAAAACACAGACAAACAAAACTCAGTTTGGAATAATTCACAAGAGAAAGGCAATTATTTGAAAAAGTATATTTTCAGATTTGCAATATTAAAAGACAGAATCTAGACAGAAGAAAATTTAGATATTTTAAGCTTAGATAAATCATGTCAAAAATTTGCAATAGAAATTCCATGAGTGTACCAAAATGCTATCACCAACAGTAAATTAATAACCAAATTAAAGCTGAAAGAAAATACACTAACAAGCAAGTAGATGAAATTATTAGGTATCAGTAATTTTATCCCAAGTTCAAAGTAAAAGTTCAACTGTCCAGAGAAGCTCAGGAAATGCCAAATTCCAGGTATATGAAAATTTCTGATAGTTGAGTGGATACAAATTGGAATTCATATAAGAAAAGCTAAATTAGGATAAATTTATGCTTTAAAATTATAAAAACAAACATCATATTTGTTATCAATTTGAATATCAAAATTCTACTTCTAAAATTAAGGTTTTGGGAGGGGAGGGAATCCCTTTCAACCTTATAAAAGCCAACATACTTCATTGGTATGATCCGAATATGAAAGTTGGAGGAGATGTTGCCAATTATTTGGGCAGAAGTTTAAATAAACATACCGTTCCTTATTTAGTTAGATAAATAGAGAAATAATAATTTTTCATGTTACATCATCACTGTTTTCATAATTATCATCACTGTCACATATACTTTTTTTTTAATGCCAAGATTCTGTAACTTTGAAAGTACTACACTTTATGCTGTCCCAAATATTAATCATTTCTCTTTTAAATGCGGGGGGAAAAAAACAGAAATTATATCCTTCTTTATAAAAATTAAAACAGCTTATTGGGATTAATCGAATTTACATTACACCAAAACAAACTTCTTAATGTTTTGGTCATGCTTACATTATTGGTGCTAAATCACACTGTTTGATGAGAATGTATACGTGTTAATAGTATTACAAGCTGTATAATGGCATTACAAATTTTTCATTTACTAAGTTTTTTGGGGGAAATTTTTTGTTAACATTATAAAATATTCTAGTTACTTCAGCTTTCTGGTTAGTTGAATGACACATAATCAGGCTTTTACTGCACTAACAAAACAGAATGGCTACATGAACGTTTTTATGATTTCCTCCTAATATTTAATAGTAATTCTTTTATTAAATCTTTTCTGAAAAACATTCCCTTGCATGTTTTGCTATAATTAATCAATATAAGTTAAGTAAAAGAAAATTATTGAAGATATGACGGTGTGGTTAATAGTCAGATGACACTGATGATTTAAAAGCATATTAAAAATTATCAACAAATATTGATGCTAATTTTCCATTTCTTAATATTCAGTACAATATAAAGTATAGAAACAAATATTTAATTTGTGTTGCCCTGGACAGTTTAATGGTTTATAGAGTTTGAGCCAACAACTTCTAGGTAATTACACGGCCTGAGCATGAAAGCATGACATCACAGTAGAAGACCGGTTGTTCACGGCTCCGCTCCACATTCATCCCTATTTCCGCTTCTTTATTTAATTAGCTCTGTTTTTCTTCCTGTTTGTTTCACTTAGTATTTACGATTTACAATTTAGAAAAAGATTCACAGTAGAATTTTACACTTAAAAGTATTAAAATACAGGAAGATTTCTTTGTTTTTTATTGCATTGTAGAAGATAGGAAATGAAAACTGATTAATAAATTTGATTTCTAATTTTCTGACTTATTATTATTACTAGATCATTAATAAAATCTGATCTGTAAATTTTGTTAGAATACAGCTGAAAGAATTTATCTTAGATTCTGCTGACCAAACAGAGAAAATTTTTCTAAAGGAAGTAATGTTATGAAATACATGGCCGCAATTTCAGATTTCATAAAAATGTAAAATTCAATTGAATTTAACCCAATATTAATTAGCACATTTTATTGTTAAATGAAACTAAAACTGATTGTTATTATTTTGCCATTGTTCTCTTTTAAACATTTCATTTCAAACCTTATATTCTAATTTAGGAGGGGAGCAAAAATTTTTTGCAAAGGAATAAAGCACTGCTGCAATAAAAAATATGCATGTTTTTGAGAAGAAAAATTATGATCTTTTTTGGTGCTGAACAATTGATACACTGTTACACTTTATAAAAATAATAAACAATAGTTTATATCAAAGGTAAGCAATTTTTTGTGTTAAATTAACTAGGTAATTAAATATTAACAAACTAAATATAAAAAAGTGTAATAAACTGTACACAATTTTTTTTGTCAGTAATTACAAAAGATTTATTAAAATATTTTTAAAATAATTGTTAGGTGAAATAAAATGATTACGAAAAACTATCACAAATTAACAAGAGGAAATAAAAATTCACATATATAAAGAAGTTATATAAGAAATACATGAAAAGAAATGAAGCTTTTATTCAAGAAATGCATAAAAAGAAATAAAACTTAAAATTGATGTCCATTCTGTAACATATTTTAATTGATTTATCAAAAGGTACATCATTCAACAATGTCCTTTCTGGCATGTAATGCCCTTGAATGTGTTTGTTATAGTAAATACTATAAAAATATCTGAGGTATTTTATGCACAAATACAGTAACCGTAAAGGTATATGCAAAGATATAACTGATCATTTCCTGCATACAGGATAGGAAATCTATACAACACAATCACTATAAGGAGGAAAAAAAACTTTGTGAGAAATAAAATCTTGCAAGAAATTAACAAATTTAAAACTACACAAGAAAAAAAGAAAGAAATGAACTGTACAAGAGCTTAACAAAATTAAACTATATAAGAACAAAACAACAAAGCATTAAATTTATATCCATTTTGATAATGTGTATAAAATAAATTTAAACCAGGTTACCAAAGATAGTGTTATGTGCCTTAATGTGAGGGTAACATAATAAAGTCCCCCTTCTTTGTGTTATGTGTTACATATGTTTTGCAACACACTGATATTTTAAAAGTTTATTAAACTTTCTGATTTTTTAGGATTCTTTTTAGTTATATCATTTCTTTTTTCAACAAAATTATTTGATTATGCCCAAATTTATTTTTTTAATTATGTCGTCAATATATAAACATATGTCTAAATGATCAAACAGTTCTGTGAAAAGGTAACTGATTAATAATGGTTGAACAAACTAAATATCTCCGGTTTTATGTTCTTTAAAAAAAGGTTCATGTTCAGATGAAAGTAATGGTTTGACAACAACTGACATTTATCTGATCTTTTATTATATTCAGTAACAGTTTTCAATCTTTTGGTTATAGTATAATCATCTGCCTTCATTTGTTAACAAATATACCAAGTTCTTCTTTTAGAGATTATACCTTTTCCTAAATGAAACAAGTAGTGAATTAAATTAAAAGACATGTAAATCAAAAAGTGGGGTTAACAGGCTTTAAGAAGTAAAACTGTGAATTGTAAGCAATATACAATCACAAAAATTATACCTCATTTGTGTGAATATATAAATGCATAATCTTAACGCAAACATTTGTCGAAATTTTCACCAAAAAAAAAAAAAAACTTGTTGAAAGAAATATACCATTAATTTCATATTAAATTGACTAGTCTGCTGAAATTCTAAACTTAATCTATGCATAAGTAAAGATTTATTCATAAAAATGTCACAATAAAAATAAAATCTCTATGGAATTTAGAATACGCTTTATGTTTTATACTCATCATAAAATTTTATTTTTTCATTTTGTGTGTAGAAATCCTTTGTAGTGGGAGTTTCAATTTATTTTGTTTTTCAGTTGAAGTGATAGTTTCATTAATTCCTAGCAGAATTTCTTAAAAAAACTTCAGTTAAAAATCCAAACTTACAATAGACTTTTTAACATAATGTCCAAACCTCTTTGCATTTACTGAATTTAAAAGTTTTAGTGTTAAATTCTTTTATCTATTTTGCCCGAGATATATGAATGAAAAATATGCGTCATAAGGGAAATGAAATGTTGTTTAAAGTAGTTACTGTTCCTTCATCCCACTTTTTTTGTAGTATCATGTCTGAATATCAGTAATTTTCTCACTCACAGTTTATTTGTTCTTTAATTTTTGTGGCATATATATCATTATTTATATTTATTTAGCATTTATTTTTATGTTTTATTTTAATTACTCCACACACTGCTTGAAAAGCAAGTATCTGGGGATTTGGGGAGGAAATGTTCACAGTGTTTATATTTTTAGGCGTTCATAATTTCAGAACAACTTTCCATAGATTGAAAATTTTAATTTAAAATTAGACTTTGAATGCAAGACAGAATCCGAATTTAGAAAGTATAGTGAAAAGGAACAGATTATAGATTCATCACTAGAGAAGCTTTTTGCTGCTTGCCATCTGTCTTCTGCTCGTGATCTCACTGACCAGTCAGCTGCTCACATTCAGGCCTTATTCTTTGAAACAGTGTTGGTTGAGCACTAGTTTGAACTGCAGTACGTGGATTTAACTCCCACATAAAGTTTTGCTGTGAGATGGTCTCAATGGTCAATCAAGGGTTTGCATCAGGAAACGGATCTAAGTATCTGTAAGACAGGTAGAAATGTACTTTTGACAGGCGAATCCGACATTTAGAGACATAACCTTAATTGAGACTCAAGGTCACTTATCACTTTCAAAGACATTGAGGATTTCATAGCATTACAAAGAATATGCATTGTTAAGAAGGAAAAATTTGCAGCAGCAGGAGTGGCTCCCTTCGAATGAAAAGGAAAACAGCTGCGCATGCGTGAAACATCTGTCGCCCAAAAGCGCCAAAGCTCGAAGCTGATTTCGAAGTTCGAACAAGTTCGACAGACATTTTATCAAGAGTTTAAAGCTGTGTGACTCCATTTTTTTCCCTCCATATTGATGGATATAAAATCAGACATCAAACTGCGATATGGATAACGCAAGTTCAACAGCCAGTGAAAGTGAAATTCACCTAATTTTCTTATTCATCTTAACCTATGTTCCTCAATTTCCTGTACACGTGGCGGAGGAGGAAAATCTCGGCCAGGTCTAGTACATCACAGAGGGGGGGAATTCTAGCCAACAGGTTCCATCACCAAATCCCTTGGTGAATTTTCCCTCTTCTTTCTAGCGGCATAGAAGACAAACTGGTTTACATTACGTCTATGGAGCCTTCCCTTTTTACATAAACGTTCTTTGCTACAATTCTTATCCCTAATAATGTTTGGTACCACAAGACAACAGTAACAGCAGAAAGTGACCCCAGCATTAAAGACTACCTTTTAGTCTTGAATGTGTGTGTTTTTAACATGTTTACATGTGTCCTTCACCTCATTTCACAGCTGAAATATTGGTTTAACCCCCCTTAGGATGCATAATGGCCAATATTCTCAATTATGAGACAGCCGAAAAACGGATTGGTTCTCTCGTTCCTGATTGCTTCTCAGCAAGTATCCACCCAATGGAATAAAAAAATATCAACTTAAGTTGAGCACTTCTGCAATGGAAAAAAAAAAAAAATAAATAAATAAATAAAAGGCTATATATAGCAAGTTAATTTTTTTTAACATAAAGTAATTTTATTTAAAATTTTGTTTTTAGCCATAACTATTTGGTCAGAGTCAAAACTTTGCACCTTATCCAAATTTCTCTTTCATAAAACTACTTTATGTAATAAAGCATTGATATAAATTGTAGTTCCATAACAGGAATTATAATTATTATTTTCCATTACTTCAGAAAGTTTGTTGCTCCCCCTCTTCTCCCAAGAGAAAAAGAATTTTTAAAGTAGTCATAGTCTGCTGTGAAAACTTAACAAAACTCGACTTTTATTCACTTCTAACAAGACAAATATAGTAAAAGTCTGAGACCTGTACTCATCAATTCCGGATTGGGGATTTTTCCTGATCATCACTTTAAATCTAGTAAAATGACATGTAGAAATTAAAAAAAATAAAACAGTTGCTTATTAAATAACAAAATATTTATGACCTTAAGAGAACCAAAATTTACAAAAAGAGCTCAATATTTATTTGTTTGCTTCATTAAACATTTCTTTCAGCGTAAGTTATTTAAGTTTCTTGTTATTTGGGATAATAATTTAATTCTACAACATAATTTCTTATTCAGTTACAAGGTTCCATTGTTCAAGGTCCTGTAATTGCCATGCCACCGAGAATTTCCACTAAATTGCCAAATGAAATTTTTTTTTTCAACAGACCTCTTTGTCACTTTCCTCACTATTGGTAGTGATTATTTTAGGAACCATGCTACAGATTTTGCTGTTTGTCAAATGATGGATGATTAGGGCATTGTAATTACAATGGAAAATCCTATGTTATATCATCACTATTTATTACCCAAAATTCCATTAATTGGAAAATTTCACTTTTTGTTTGCAATATTTGTAAACCTTGAAATTTACAGTTACCATCCTAAAGTTTAGTTAGCATCCGCTATATACCACTGGCGATGTATGAAATAGGAGACTAAAGGCATGCTATTTTTCTAAATTTTGTCTTGCTTCTATCTTACATTGATGAAGTTAAGGCTGAATTATATTAGTTATTTATGATATTTATGTCGATTTCCTGCATATGCTTAAGGTATGAATAAATAAATTCCCACATACACTTCATTCTGGCGCTAGACATTTTGCGGCCCAGTGCAGTCTTTGCCAGTCCTAAATTCTGCTGCCACATGGCTTTCTAAATTCTAAAAATTTGTATCCTAGTGTTTCTCTAAGTTCCCAAAATGTTGACTCTCTTACATTTTGTCACCTGTGTGGTTGCACAAGCTCTGGCACCTGTCCTGGGATTATCTGAATAACAAATCAGTTATTCTCAATTCAAACTGCAAGCTTTTGGCCTATGAATAAATATCATTTACTAAATATAATTTTTACATATTGAAATTTCAATATTCTGCCAAATTTCTCCTCATTAACACACTCAACACTTTGCAGCACAGTTAGTTGAAGTCTGTAATCATCGCATAATCATTGCAATTGCTGAATTTTAAACTCCTCATCCATTGAATGATTTCATAAACATAATATTAAACACAAAGAAACATTTAAATAATCAGTAAAATTTACCATATTTGGAAAAAAAACTTTTTGAGTAAAATTTGATTCAGAATGACAGGAAAATATATTACCAAATTTTAGATCAAAAGCATTGCAAGCATACATATCTTAGCAAACAAGGTGAAGTGCAGAATCGCCCAATTATTTGTTTGACGCTTTTTATAAGAGTACGAATTGGATTTTGGTCAATTTTCTTTGATTTTTTAAGTGAAAATAGGTCGATGTGTACATGGATAAAGTCAAGGGAGTGCGCAATGCCATTTTTGTGCAATTCTAGGATTTAAGTAAAAATAAGTCGATGTGTACATGGATAACGAGTTTGTGCAAATTTTAAAAACGCGCCAAGCAGTGGGTGATTCTGCACTTGCCCCAATAAATAAACATAAATTTATGGCAATACTACAGGATGATTCCAAATTCCTGGAACAAACTTCGAGGGAAGGTACACAACAAAGATAAGAAAAATATTCACATAATAAACCAAGGGTGCAATACTATTGTTTTTAGTCATAAATACAAATTAAAATATATTTATAATAAGAAAACTTTAAAATGAGACACAGATCATATAACACATCAAATGACTTGCTTCATACGAAGAACAGCATCCACAAAACCTATTGTCGCTCATTTAAAAAGATCTTGCTTTAAACTACGTCATGAAACACCTTTGCATAATAAATCACTGTTGCCAATTGAGGGCAGTAGGAGAAGACGCCATTAGCGAATGTGGTGTTGTCAATGATAGGCATCTTTACGTATGCCTAAAAAGCAGACATGCATTACATGCACACTGCGGGGAAAAAAAAAAAAAAAAGGACAGTTCTGTCTCTCTCAATCTAATGGGCTGATTGATGAAATTTAAATTGTGTTTTTCACGTCTCGAAAGCCCGACTTAGGATATATAGTAGATTTATACATAGCATTATTCTAACACAGGTATTCTGACACAAAAAACAGACATTTTCTGATATAACATATAAATGTTTTTCCGGTTGATCTTTACAATATGGTAACTGGTAGTTTGGCGACGATAAAAGTTACTACCTGGGACTTTGATAATAATGTGAGCAGTACTCAGTTCCGATTACGCATTATTTTGTGCGAGGGAAATGAGAGATCATGGGATATGTCATGTGATATTAATGGACGAATTACGGTTCTTTAATCGGAAAAAGGGGGAAATCGGGAAAAAATCCGGAAATTTTGTATTTAGCTTTATTCTGTGTTGTGTGAAACAGTGTTTGTTAATTTTTGGATCCCATGGCCCTAACTAAAGTGAATTCGAAATGGGTATTTAGGCATTGTGATAAAGAGAAGTTTGCTTTTTATTAGCGGAGGAAGTATGGAGGAAAAATTCACAGAAAAATCTTTCAATAATTTTATTGAATGAATTAGAAAAGTGTATCTGCCACGTAATCAAGATTCTGAGAAGATTAGGTAAGTTAGTATTTTTAATTATTTTGAGGATATTATTTTTATGCATTGTTCTAAATGTAAGGTGGAAAGGAATTTGGTATTATTGGGAAAATTGTTATTAGCAATGATTTAGTTTAAAGTAATTAGGATTGTAAGGTAATTTTTTATTATTTAATGTATGTGCTCATTTATATTTTAAGTAGTGTTTTTGAATTTAATTATATTTTAATGAAATGATAGTTATTTTGGTGAATTTTTGTTTGTAGGAATTTGGTATATATACGTTTTAGTTGAAGTAAACGTGCATGGAAATAATTTAAATCTGACACTAAGTATTTGTAATGGTTGCGGTATGAATTCGTTGTGACATTTATAATATAATAGATGATTTAGAGGTAAAAGTTTTTGGATATTTTATTTATTTATATGTGGAAATGTTCATATTTGGAAAGGGTAAATACTTTTTCGCGATCAGGTAATTTCATATATGTTCTTTTTACCCGGGTTTAAAGATTGAGAAAATTGTCATGTATTTTCGTGAAATTTTTCTAATTTATGAGAAAAAAGCAGTGTACATGGATATAGTGAAGAGTGTGCGCAATGCCATTTTTGTTGCAATTCTGGAATGTTTTTTTTTAAGTAAAATAAGTCGGCGTGTACATGGTTTATGTGTATGTGTTATTTTGAAAAAACGCGTAAGGAGTATGGTATTGTGCACTTTTTCCCAATTTTGCAGTGAATATTTGTCATGATTAAGCAGTTTTGTTTGATAAAATTTCTAGCATAAGTGTAATTCGGCTAGTAGATTGTTGGAAGAAGTGTTCAGTAGATAAAAGAAAAGAAACATGTCTTTACTTCGTGAAGACAAAATGGCGGCGGGGAAAAAAAATAGAGGGTTGCTGTAGGAGAGTTGGTTGCCAAATTTTCGCCAAAAAATCGCCAAGTTACCATAATATAAAGATCAACCGTTTTTCCATATTTTAATTCTAAGACTCAAATTATGCCTAGATATTAAATTTTGTAATTCCTGGTAAGAAATTTATGGAGAAATAAAAAAAATTATCTTGGCACATTTTTTTTCAGTTTGTGAAAAGAATAATTCACTTTTCGAAATTCTTAATTTATAGTAACCTACTTATTTTCCTTTTTTTCCATTGATGTACAAGAGGAAAGAAGGTCCTTTGCTCATTCTTTCAAATAATTTTAAGAAAGTGTGTAAACCACATTTTTGTTACTATTGCTTATATTAAATACGCCAAATTTCAGCATGTCCCAAAATGCAAATTTAAGTATATCTTAGGAAATTTTGATTAAAAAAAATTCTATTTTTTTTTTCAGATATGCTTAGAAATACACCTACTTCAAGATGATGTTAAAAATTTTATAGGTCATGATACAAAAATTTATAAAAAATATTTAAAATAAATAATTAAAAAATGTGCGAATTATATTTGTATTAAGCCTAAATTTCAAATTCTAGAAGAAAGACTCAAGTAAGTTTAATAAAAAAAGATATATTATTAAATATATATCAAATTCAATTAATACCGAGGAGCTAAAATTCTGAGAACTAATTTTAAAAAAAGTACTCGTGGGATTTTTACAAAACTTGGTAGTTTGGGATAATTTTAATCGTAGAATCAAAATATGGGGGGAAAAATTGGCATTTCCTTTCAGAAAAAGTCCGAATTTGTGTCAAAATACCTATATTAAAACAATGCTATACATAAATCGAACACATATCCTAAGTCGTGCTTTCAAGACATGAAAAACAGAAGTTGAATTTAGTCAATCGGCCTAGTAGAACGGGAGATATAGAACTGTCCCCCCTTTTTTTGGGGCAGTGTACAGTTGTGCAAATGGTAATGCCAGAGCTGCATTACGAATGTATCAAGTGGCTGCATCATCAATCTTGTGAAACATTTTTTTTTTCCTTGTCCCCATAGAGGATGCTGGTCGACGCTGAACTGCATGCAAAGACTTGAAGAAATCATCTTGAACACTGTGGCTGATCAAGCAAAGTCAAGTACAAGAGCTGTTGGACAAAATGTAGGTGTGAGTCAAAATACCATTTGGGGAGTGTTAAACAAAAGTCGCTTAAATGCCCTCTGTTTTCAGCATGTACAAGCTTTGAATTCGCAAGACTATCCTGAACGTTTGCCAGTGGCTTTAGCAGCAATCTGCACTGGATCAGGAATCGACAGCTATTGAGAATCCCAACGCAACATAACCACATGCGGTCTCAACAATGCATCAGTGTGAGCGGGTATAATCCACGACATTTTACTTGGCCCATACTTACAACTGCAGCGACTCAATGGCCAACGTTATCTTATTTTCCTGGAACACATTACCAGAACTGCTGCTAGATATTCTGATCTCCATTAGTAATCGAATGTGGTTCCAGCCCACTTCAGCAGTAATGTTCACAATTACCTGAATGCCACTTTCGAGGCACATTGGCCATGGTAGACCAGTCCCTTGGTCAACCCGATTTATTGAGCCTCAATTACTTTTTCTGAGGACATCTGAAGAGTCTTGTCTATGGACACACACTGACTGAGCTGAGAGTTGTGTTGCTCGAATATCAGTAGCTGCTGCATGTGTGCATGAAATATCTGGACCTTTACCAGTGTACACCAGTCACTTCCAAGCACGTATCACTATTGACGGACGGAATTATGCGCAGTTCCTGTAAACATCTTTTTCCAGTTGAAGTGAGACACCTGCAGCAATTAAATAGCATATTTCTGACTAAATAAATGAATTGCGACCTGGGTTTCCTACATGAATATTATTCTTACCTTTTTTTCCGTACCTCCCTTTCCAAGTTTGTACCATGAATTTGGAATCACCCTGCATTTGTAGACTCATTAGAGTTTTTGATGCTGGAGATGTGAAAAATGTGCAGTGACCTCGTCAGGATTTTAACTGTGGAGCTCCTGAATATGCACTGAGTGTGCTTCTCAAAACATGCGGAAAGACGGGAGAAAATACCTTATATACACTCCCTTTTAAAAGGTGATTGGGGATAAGGAACCCAATTGCCAAGTCCTGGGGGTGACGAATTATTGTTTACCACCTTTGAGTTTAGGTGCCACTGTGAAGTCATTAGGATTTTTAATGCTGGAGATGTGAAAAATGTACAAAGCCCTTGCCAGGATTCTAAATCTGGACCTCCCTAATATGTGTTGAGTGTACTTCCACTTACACACCAAAGGCATGCAGAAAGAAGGGCGAAAATACCTTATATATTAATTCAAGATAACAAGGCAGAAAAATTAACTATTCTGTGCTACAGTGAAAAATCATATTCAGGATTAAAAACAGTTAATAAACACAATTAGATCAAGAAGCATGTGACAATTAGATCAAAAAGCATGTGAAATGACACAATTTTTTAGACTAATCTTTATTCTACAGTAACTCTTGTTATTTTTTTCTGAAAAAAATCGCCAAGGGGCACTGTAGAATAAAGATTAGCCCCAAAATATTTGAATTAAAGAACTCAGGTTATAATTTTTACATGTTATATCCTTTTTCTAAAAGACTCAATCTTAATGACATAAAAAAATCATCAAAAAATAAGTGATAGCAGCTAAAATTTCATTATGAAGTTTAGGATGGAAAAAATTATAATGTGCATTTTTAATTTTCGCATGGTTGATATATTCAGATAAATATAAATGAAAGGGGGCAGAAATAAAAAAGAAATATATCAATGAAAAAAAGCTGCACAAACAAATAATAAAATTGTATAAGTGAATAAATATTCTGACATACTTCTATTCAATTAGTTAAATTATTGACGGAATTAAATTCAGCACAAATAAATATTATAAGTACAATTTTCAAATTTTTTACACTTAAATTAAATAGCATATTTTTCATGAGATTCAAGCATAGCCTCCAAAAATTATATATGTATTTTTCTGTTCAATTTACTCTATATAAAGCTAATACCTTTTAATATATGTAACAACAACATTTCATTTCAAGAACAGTACACATTTGTTTAAAAGCCTTTAAAAACTACCTTACAACTCTTCAAAAAATGCAACACGGGTTTTGGTAGAACCAGATTTCGTTCGTCTCAGTGTTGAATACTTATTCTCACCTCGACCAGCATTGTCTTCATATATATAGTCAAGAGATGTAATGTTATCTTCCACTTTTAAAACTTCAATTTCAGTTTTTAACTCTAGCAATTGCTCTTGTAAATGTTTACTTTTTTCTAAGTATTCCACACGTTCTTTTTCTATTTCAAGTGTTAATTTTTCCATTTCATGATCTGCTATAAGATCATATGTGATGGCATTCGTACCAGCATTTACATTATGCTCTAAATCAAGTTCAGAATATTGCCTTGGCACAATACTTAGGACATCTACAGACGATTTAGAAACATAGGACTTTGAATAACTATTTTTAAATATTTCCCGCAATTTTTCTTTGGCATCTTTTTCTGACATCTGGGCTTTAATGAGTTCCTCCTTCAATCTTTCTGCTTCTTTTGCTCTTCTTTCAGACTCTTGCACCATTCTAGTTGCTAAAAGTTCTGCCTCGTGAGCTTTTCTTTCCATCAATTTCTTTTCTTCTTCTGTCTTTATGGCACTTATTTTAACTCTCTGAATTTCAGCTTCAGCATCTGAAGCTTTCTGAGTGAGTAACATTGCTTCTTCTTCAGCAATCCTAGCTTTCTCAGCAAGGAGTTCGGCAGTTTCCTCTGATCTCCGTAATGCCTCGAGTGCTACCCTAGCTTCTTCCTGATACTGCATCAATCTCTGCTCTAGTTCTGCTTTCTCTCTCTCAATTTCTTCCCTTAGTTGTTTTTCACGTGCAAGTTTATTGCGTTCTATTTGCCTACGAACTTTCTCTTCTTTGGCTTGTGCTTTCATTTGTTGAATTTCCATAGAATCAGGTTTACGTCTTCTCATAAAAAGATCATGGTTACCTATACAGAGATCCAGTATTAATTTATTCATTCTAATTTTTGAAGAATAAAACTGGAAACATGGTGAATTCCTATCTACAAGTTTTATGGTGAACTTTTTATTATCAAATGATATGTTCCTAATTTCACTCCACGGAAATGTAATTTTGGGTGATAGCTTATTGTTCCTTTCATATATATTTAGCCCAAGAGCTGTTACACCAAGCCACAATTCACTCTCCTTCTTATTACATATTGGAAAGTAATTAACACCATACATATCCAAATCTTGAGCAATTTTCAAATATTCCATTTCTGCTTCATCCCGTGTCATACCACGATGATCAGCATACCAAATTTTTATCCTTTCTATCCACATTTCTGGAGTCATTTGATACTGATCTATTACTCTCTGGGGAAGAAGATCTTCATTCGATAACATACCAGGTTTATATGAGGCTTCATCATAATCACCATATTTGGCTTGCACAGCATAGGATGCAAGTAATACCGATGCTTCAGGAGGGCAATAAATGTCCATATTAAGAACGGCTTGTTTCACTTGCAAGAAAAACAAATGCTGAGTAATTTCTTGAATCAACTCTTCAGCCATATCTTCCGGATAAAACTTCGCAAGGAACAAAAAGGGCACAGGCATTTTTTTCCGGATATCTTGATCACGTACTTTTTTATCCAATTTCAGCCACGCTACGAAACCTTCTGAATCGACGTATTGCAATCCAAAATACCATATTTCGCGAAGACCTATAGTACGACTAACTAAATCAAACAAATCGCGTCCAGTTGCTTTAAGATCTAAATCAAATTCTAATTCAGCATCCATTGTCGTAACACGTACGGGAAATACTTTTCCCGATGATTTTTTACTTTTTCTGAACGGCATTAGGAGTATTCCTAATCACAAAAACATTAAGAAGAAAAGATTGCCAGTTCCTTCATATTGCGTGGACGGATTTATAGTTTCTTTTCGAAAATGAGAGTCTTTTAACAGCATCTTTCGATAACGTTCCATCTCGAACTCCATTAATCAATTTTGGAGAGTTAACTACTTCCAAAAACAGTTCTCATGCCTAATGTTGTATTCAAGACTGTGTCTACCCGTCCGACATTAGACGGCTAACTCAGTCACAGTAGAAATGTTAAATGTCCGACTAATTGCGCAGAGTTACCTTCTGATGAGATCACTTTCTGCGCTTTCCAAGGCTGTGTCTACTCGTCCGACCTCAGGACAGTTAGCTCATAGACAGTATGCCAACCAGCTGTGCAATAATGGCTGTGTCTACCCCTCCGACGACGGACGGTTATTACAATCATGGTAGCAGAGTTAAATGTCCCGACTGCGTAGAGACGCTGTAGCGATACCTGCGCATTCCGAACAGTCGCGTAAATCTGTTTGTTTACATTTGCGGAAAGGGTGATTTTTCTTTTTCGTGTGACAAAGTTATTTCTTTTAGTGAAAAATTGCTCTTTCTATGACAGATTTGTAAAAGATTATGGGGAAAAAAAAAATCTGAAAGCTTTCAGATTGCGCCCAAAGGGGAGTTTTTTTAACGTTTTATATGTTACATTTATTTATTAAATATCACATTCTTCGCTCTTAAACTATCAAATTCAATTCAACAGCAATATCACAAAATATTTAAAAGAGCGTATCTTTAGAATTTCTGACACACAGTCTCGCGGGCTGGATATAAAATATTTTTCCCCTACAGTGTTGCCATTATTCGCCTTGAAATCGTTGAGTTCCTTACTTAAAAACTCATAAAGGTTTTACAAAATATGAAATAGCTAATAGAAAAATTCCAAATTCTAAATTTAGGCTTCTAGATGCCGATATTCGATGAAAATGTACGTTATTAAGAATTTGATGGCTCTAGATACCGTTGTTTTATCACACTGTGAGAAACATACATACATTTATCCAGATTCTTCATTACTTAATATCTCTAAATATAATATAGGGCTCTATTATTTGATGGCAACAATTTAAAAGTGATTCGCCGTTTTTAGTGAATCAACGCAAAATGCCAAAACGAATTAACAGCCCTTCTAACCCCTAAGGGTTTCAAACCCCAGCGAACGGGCTGGCTGCAGGGGAGTTTTCTTGGTTTTTCTCACTTGTAACACTGAGTATAGTACTCTTGGTGATTTTCTCGCTGTTCTGAATCATATCAGCAAAATTCAATCTGCTGTTAAAACTTCGGAAATAATTACAAAATCCTGTGTCCAAATCGCTAAATCTGAGCAAGCCAAGCAATCATGTCTATCTGTATTGACCCGGACTAAGGAGGTCGCTGACTGATTAGTATAATTATTCAAAGGTAGGTGCAACTCCTTTGGTGCGCTAAATCCTTCCTATGTTAATATGCCTCTCTGCTACTGAAATTACTACAAATAAGATTAAAAGCATGAAATCTGACAATGCTAATAGTTCTAATACCATAGCCACTAATAATTAATAATATTAAAAATGTAAAATATTAAAAATAGGCAATAATATTAAAAATGATAATGATATGAATGGTACATCTGACTAATTGTGTAAAAAATTGATGCTAGTAATGCTAAAAGTAATGTATGTAACATAAAGATGTCATTGTTGAAAGTCCTAAGCTCAAGAAGCCCTCAAAAAAGGAAAAAGAAGTGCAAACGAGTTACAGGACGCAGATGGTTTTGTTCAGCCGCGTAATGTGGCCAGACCATTAATCCTAGTTAATTCAACGTAGATATTTCGGTAAACAACAAATTTGATAGTTTAAATACTAATGAAAGGGTATATACTGTAAATGAAATCGATATGCAAGGTGAGTCGGAAGTTATGGAAGTTCAGACACCCAAAATTAAACCAATCATGGTTAGACTTGTTATTAAATTTTCAGACTTTGTTAAAATGTTACAAGCAGATACTAAATTAGAAATTATCCCCAAAATTAATGGCGAATTTTTGAAAGTCTTCCCTAAGTCGGAAGCAGATCATAAACAAATAAGCAAGTATTTAGACGAAAAGCAAATTAACTATTATACAGTTACCAATAAACTTTAACGCCCTATAAAGGTGGTAATTAGGGGCCTCACTATTGACTGCCCTACAAACGAAATCCAGGAAGAAATTGAAAAATTAGGTTATAAGATCAGAAAAGTTTTTCAAATGCACAGGATCAAATCTCGGGCCCCTATGCCAATACTTCCGTTACAACTAGAAAATCTACTAGGTGTAGATGAAATTTATGATTTGAGTAAGTTAATGTACTTCTATGTAAATGTTACTGCTTAGTGGAAGTATTGTGCAGTGTCACAACTGTCAGCATTTCCACCATTCTTCGGATATGTGCAAACTAAACTTCCGATATGTGTAAAAACTAAACTAACTAGTCCGTTGCATGAAATGCGTGGGGCCTCATAAAACGGAAAATTGTTCATCTAAAAAGGTTAGATTCTGTTAATGGTTTGGTTCGGTTTATTGAGATTACGGCAAAGCACACTAGGGCTATCTGCTTAAGGAGAGGGATGCCTTCGTGGAGGACTTTCTAAGCAAAACTGATCGTATACACGTTATATGGGGAAAACCACGAAAACGCCCATGCAGCCAGCCCGTTCGCGGGATTCAAACCTCGCGGCCGAACTACCAGTGTTCAGCGACTTTACCGCTCGGCCGCTGGTGGGCTGGATGTTTAAAATAATAACGATAATACCAATGTATCAAATCCTACTACTGATAATAATGTAAGCAAGAAATCGCCTGTGGCTCCTGGAGTTCTTATTCCAGTTTAACTAGCGTCAAAACAAAAAATGTTATTAACAACAAATATAAGAGTCATAATCCTAGACTGGTTAATCATATTTAAGGACAAAAGGATTGATGAAATAGGATTCAGTGCCTTCGCGGAAATTTTTAAATTTCTAAAAGAACTGAAGGATTTGTTTCAAGGCTGCTCAATAACAAATATCTTTAGGAAAGTGTCTGAAAAAATGCCAGAGCTGCCATCCCATTGACAAACGATTCATTGTATTCTTTATATTTGAGGAAATTTTTAGCTCTACTGCCACCGCTTAATTTATGTTTTAATATGCCTTAAGTGTACTCTGAACACAGAGACTTGTTAAATTTAATATAATTCTTCGTTTTTATGCTTATATTTATGTTTATATTATTCCAATGCTGTGTGTTTCTGTATTTTAACTTATCATTTATTGGTTACTTATGTCTTAGCGCATCTTAGGTTCTTGCACACATACACAATCATAACACATGGGGAAAAACACGAAAACGTCCAGGTAGCCAACCCATTCGCGGGATTCGAACCTTGGACCGAACAACCAGTGTTCAGCGACTTGCTTCAGCGAACTACAAGTGTTCAGCGCCTTGCTTCAGCGAACTACCAGTGTTCAGCGACCGCTAGGCATAGACCTTATAAGAAATAGACTAACCCAGTGGGCGGGGCGCGTCACCGACATGTCGGCAAGAAAGAGTAGGGACGATCTGGTTTACTTTAACACTGAAACCTATGGCGTTTGTGTCACATAACTCTTTTTAATTATTAAATGTGATATGTTGTATAGTGATGAGATTATGAAAGCCACAGTTTTTTCCAAATAGGATTTAATATCTCATTAAAGCACTTTTTACTGCATTTCGCGCATTTTTTTCACGCGTAATTCTTGTACAAACATCTTTACTTTGGTAAAACACTAAAAACTCTAAGCACAAAATTTATGAGCTTAATTTTGCTTAAAAATAAAGTAAAATTAAATGAGATTGATGGTACGCGATGCTTTGAAATAAATAAGGTAAAATTAAACAAGATCTGATAATTTTTTTTTAAAAAATTTAATGAGCATTTTCAGGCAGTGATTTTCCAAACTATAACATTACAAAACGATCATATTTATTTGATTATATGATCATTAAATTATTAACATTAAAGTGGATTAGTTATTTTAATAATTCATAAAATTCGGAGCATAAAATTTTCTGAGCGTAATGAAGGAAAAAAAAAAAAGATAAAATAAAATCTAGAAGCACTCTTTTGTTAAAGTTTTGTGTGTTATCTATATTTATTGAATATCATGTTCTTCGCCCGTAAACCACATACATTTGAAAACAGCATATCCGTACAGTGCTCGCTCTGAACTCGCTGAGTTTGTTAATCAAAAATTCGTTAAAATTTTACAAAATGTGAAATAGATTAAAACAAATTCGAAAGTCCAGATGCCTATGTTCGGGTGGAGGATTACATTATTCAAAATTCGATGGCTCTAGATACTGTCGTTTTTGTCACAGTGCGAGAAACATACATGTATTCATGCATGGGTTAATAATTAAATTAACAATAAATAAAAAAAATCTTATGCAGAATTAAAAATAAATTAAAAAAATAATCATTATAAAAATGCAAGCAAAATTAATTATTACGGTTAAATACAATTTTAATATTAGAATTAATGTATAAAAAATTATTAAGGAGTCAAAAGTGTTTATCACTATGATGTATTATGAAATATAATTGAAATAAAATTCCCTTATAGAAATTGTGCTATAATACTCATCTATAATTTTAAAAAAGGAGCACAATTTAGAATTTTAAACAAAACTTTCAAAAATTCGTTTTTAAATATTTTAATATTTTTTACTTATTTACACCAAAAAAAAAGCATAAAAATTGCAATAGAAAATTGCTTGTTTGAAATTTTCTAGTAGTTATATTTAAAATATTATTTTCTAAAAGAAGTAGTTACAAATTTCCTTACAGCATAGGAAAAGCTAAAAAAAATCCAGTCCTGAAAGCATGCAACAGCTTTATAATTATTTGGAATGTTAATTATGCTCGATAAATATGCTACATTTTTAAAAATCAATCTCAATTTCAAAAATAAAAAATAAAAACATGTAGAAATTCTAATTTGTGAAATGAGGCGCTATAACCAGCTTTTTCTTGACAATTATACACGCTGCAATAGGCAATCAATGTAAATTTCTGGAAGTCGTCCCTACTCCTCCGGATGTGATGAAGGTGACAGCCGGCAACGCCTCAGACAAGGGAGAAAACCCGTTTGGATTAGTGTATTTCTTATAAGGTCCATGCCGCTAGGTCGCTGGTGGGCCTCATTTTCAATTCAATATTACAACGTGGACTTTTGACATCC